TGTAACTGTTAGGCCCAGCAAGAGCCTAAATATAAGAAGGTATGAAGAGAACTCAGGAAACTAATCATCCATCGATGCAAAAACACAAGAGACTCTTCATGACTATTGAGCAATGGGGTCACCCCTGCTGGTCAGCTAGGAGTGGCACCGGGAGACAAAGACCGTGGGTTTTTAAAAGACACAAGGCGGAAATCTCCTGGGGTTGCCTTCTTGGCGATTTAGGGTTGGATGAAGTGTTTAACTTTTAAAATAATTGGTCAGTTCTGGTCACCCTTAGGTCCAGTCAGCCCTGTCGTAAATATCTGATCATCAAGTCAGTTTGGAATTTCCTGCCATCCATAGTTAAATGTGGGAGGGTGATTAACTCATCCCATGTCTGTTCTGAGGAGTGGGGGTTACAGGCTTTGGATCAAAGGTCAGGAGAAGGATTGGGGCCATTTGGCCCAGTTTCCAAACAAAGCCCATCTCACCAGTGCCAGCCGGTGATTTTTTTCTCCATTTAGTAGAGATCTCTGCTTGTTCTCTTCCTTATCTCTGCCCTCACAGATGGCTAATGTCAGGAACTTTTACATTCCTCGGTTCTCTGGAGAATCACTAAGAGGCTTTAATTAACATGGGCCTAAAACTTGCAAATATAAGTTATAAGGCAATTAAAAGAAACATAGGTTACAAAGTTAGTCTGATTCTTTCATAACCTTAGGCTCATGCTCTCCAGAATTTAAGGCAAAAACCCACTGGAATTCTGAATATGAATCTATGGCATGGTGCATGTATTTCGGTTCTCCAAACTCTATAAAATGGAGCATACCAGCCACTGTATGACCTTGTTCCAAGACAACACCAAATAGGATCTGCATTTCTACTTTAGCATATAGACCTTCATCCAGTAATTGAACCTTAAGAATACACATATAATCTCCAGGCTGACCAAGTTGGCCTATAGCTGAAGATTTTCTCTCCAACACCTCAATAGGCTGCCATTTAAGCCTGGTTGGACTTTTCTTATCTGGAACTAACTCTTTTGGTATTATTTTAAGTACCAGATTGGATTGTTCTTAAGGCTATTTTGATTCAAAGATTCCCCCAACCTGTTCTATGACTTTAATTTAGCATCTATTTTTTCAGTCTCTTTTTTTTCTCCAAGTCTGTCTTATCCTGATCTTTCCCAAAGAGGATATACAAAACTGAAATTGTCACTGAAAAAATTATTTGTATGCTAATAGAAACGAACTCAAATGGTATCCAGAAGCACTGTGTCATTAGGCCCAGCTTCCCTTCTAAGAAGACTGTACCAGTTTAGATGCATGAGGTTTCTCAGTCTGTCTCTGGCTCCTGCTTCCAGGGAGAGGTATTTTTTTTTCTGCCTCCCTCACTGGATCCTAACCCCTTCCTCACTCTGGGAAGTTAAGATCCACAAATGTTTGCTCCTCAGTCCGGCAAGAACCCCTTCTCAAAGGGATTTCTCTTTCTGCCTTGGCTAGCAAAGTCTGACTTTGAAAAGCTTCCTTGTTAAAAAGCCACTTTCTTTTTTTTAATCTAAAAAAAAAATCCCAGCCTCTCTGGGATTTGTATGTATTAATTTTTGTTTTTTTGCAGCCTGCTGGAGGCTTTATTGCTCTGAAAGGGGTCTGTCTACTCAGGAATCTATGAGCTCCTGGTTTAGGAACTGCCTTTGCTTTGTTTTTAAGGACAGAACTAAAAAACTGCTCTATAGTTTTACCACTTTCTGTGTAAATTCTTGCTAGATTACTGTAAATTCTGCCCCACATTGGGCGCCTTTTGTTGTGGATTATTAATATTTATTATCGATTTATCTTTTAGTTAAACAGTAGTTATTTCATAAACCAGCTGTATACCCAAATCACCACACAAAGACTAGGATTTATTTAATTAACCTAGAGCACAAAGCTGGGCAATAGTTACTCCATCCTAAATCTCCAAGCCCACATAAATTCCTCCCATTCAGAAGTCTGGTTCTTCTCATGGTTCCAAGTCCTCTCCTCCAGGCCAGGATGTCCCACCCTATTCTCTCCATTACACAGCATTGGCTGGTTGCTTTATTGACATTACAGAGAAAAAATGGTGGCATGTTTATAAAAATTTGAGACAGGTGATATTTAAACATCACAATGCAATGTCCGGATTGAAACCAGATAGTGGGGTAGAAAAATAATCATTTCAATGAACTAGGGTAAACTGTATACATTTCACAAAAACATTACACCAACAAATAATAATAAATCTAAAATTTACAAAAACTTCAGGCTCAACAGGTGAATTCCTATAATGGGTTTTGGTCTTTGTGTGTGGAAAGGTGGTGGTCGTAGGACTCCCACCCAGGCCATGACCTCATACATGCTAGATAATTAACCTATTCTTAAACACTCAAATGGTGGATTTTAAAAAAAATATAAATTGGTTTGCTCAAAGGAAAAATACAATGTGTTATTGCCTCTAAGGATTAAACTCCCTGGAAATTTTCTGCTGCAAAAGCCCAAAGGAGAAAAAAATTAAAACAAAACAAAAATCAGAGTTCAAAAACATTGTCTTCAGGCAGTGCTCTGAGTCGGTACCGTGATTCCACTATTGCATTTTCTTAAATCAAACGTAGGTAGAAGAACATTATCCTCCAATATCACTGATACTTCTTCCTCCCCCAAGGATCTGCTTCACTGACCTCGCTACCCTGGTTCTCTCACCCAGTAGGGCAGCAGTTAGCCTGGACACTCCTATGTATTCCATCTTTGGTCAAAGTAAAAGCAAACCAGTCAAATTCTTCAGTTACAAAAGTAGCAGGATAATTTACTAATTGGAGGACCTGTGGTCTGGCAGGGGGAAAAAGGTTCTGGACTTTGTTTCTCTAGTTATAATTTTAGACTTTACTGGAAAAAAATAACTTGAGCTACACTGCACATTGGGACAATTCCACACAGACGTGCTGGGGTTACTAGTCTGGAACAGCAGGCTTTTGATAATATGTTTAATTCCACAGGGAAATAAAAACACTTCTCTCTGCACATAGGGATACTATGGGGACAGGATAACTTTTACAAGATATAAAAATCTATTAAACAACTTGTTAAGACATTATTTTTAATTTGTATTACTGAATAATGAAGTTTGTTTTTTTTTTTTGTTTTATTTTTATTTTAATGTTTTTTTGTTTGTTTTTTGCTTTTAAGGCAGGGTTTCTCTGTATAGCCCTGGCTGTCCTGGAACTCATTTTGTAGATATCTTGAACTCAGCGATCTTCCTGCCTTTGCCTTCTGGGTGCTGGGCTCAAAAGAAGTGCCTATATAGCTCAGGACCTGAAATACTGAGTTATTTAAAAAGAGGAACTACTACAATAAAATTCTCCCTAGGAAACTAGTCTATCATTAAAATAACATCCTGCCAGGCACTGGTGGCACACACCTTTGATCTATCCTCTCAGAGGCAGAAGCAGAGAGATCTAAGTTCGAGGTCATCCTGGTCTACATTGTGAGCACTAGCTCAGCCTAAGACTAAAGAGACCCTTGTCTCAAAAAAACAAAATAAAACGTTTCTTCAAATTTACAGATCTATTTTTAGTGAAGGTTATGCTTTTCAATTTCTTCCAATTTAATCATGTAGCATAGGTACATCGTAAATAATTGCTTAAATATTTTTCTGTTCACACTTTAAATTTTGTTCATGTTTAAAATTTCAGACTTTTTACAGAGCGTAATCTAGAGCTTAGACACGGAGGAAATGATTAGGATACTCTGAATCTGAGCTCAGCTACTTCCTCTCCTGAGAAGCATCCCGAAACATTTCCTTTCTGTGTACACGTATATACATTGTTTAAAAAGTATATACATTGAAGCATTACACGTTTTCATTAGCAATCAAGGTCTTATTGTGACTTTTTACACATATAACTTCCAAATCATTCAGCTATATACATAATTTATACTAATGAGAAACATTTGCTGTGAAGAGCTAGAGGACGTTATAATTGTAACGTCTGAGACTCTTAGCAAGTTCTACCTAGAATCAGTAGCCTGAGTTTTACAGGGTTCCTGGCTTCCTCTAAGTTTAAACATCCAGTTTGCGGCACTACATGCATATGAAGTTGACTGTTAAGGAATTTCTAAACGTTGCGTTTCATTATCAAACATTAGGTTGGATGAAGTTACGGTGAGATCCTTAGTGTTTGGCGGGGTGGGGTGGGGTGGGGTGGGGGGGTGTCTTAACCTAGGAGGCTTAGCAAGAACACAAAGCAGGGATTTGTTTCAAGCCCCAAGAAACTACTTGAAATCAAAGCCTTTAGTGATAGGGCAAGAAGCGAATGGGAAACTTAAAAATGCAATTCTGTAACAAATTCAAGAAGTATGAAACCTCCAGTGTGGAGGTCTGGCTTTCCCTAGATTCCAGAACAAAAGAGCACTTGCGAAAGGAGGGGGACCTGACTCCTGCGCTGCCCCCTTCCACTCCCCACGTAGTCCCCCAGGGCACGAGGAGCGCCACAGCCTGCCTGGCTTCGGTGCTCCCCCTTCAGGGCCAGCCCTCGGGGGAGGCCAGCCTGCCGCCATCCTTCGGGGGGGGTGGCTCGCTGTCCCGGGAGGGAGCCAGGCCCGGCGAGGGGTCCTCCACAGCTGGCACGGAACTCCGCCCGGCCCCGGGCCACCGGGCCCAGCGCACGGTTCCCCGGGGCGGGGGACAGGAGAGGAAACGGTGCGCAAAAAATAAACAAATAAAGCACAAAAAGCCAGCGCCGCCTGTCGCTTATCAGCGGGCGAGGGGAAGGGCGGAGGGCCGGGGAAACAGCGGGCCCAGCGCCCGAGCTCCCGCCCGAGCGCCTTTTAAACTGCGTTTCTGCACCTCTCGCTCTGCGCCGCGGCGGCTGGAACCCGCGCGAGCCGCCTGGCCAATCCCCGCCGCGCTTCCTGCCGCCGCCGGCCAATGGCGGCGCGCGTTCTTGGGGCGTGCGCAGACGGGCCGCCCCCGCCCCCGCCCCAGCTTGTGTGTAGGCTCGGCGCGCTGCGGGTTCCCGGCTTGGCCGCACTTGCTCGCTAGTCGAGCGCTCCGGGCTTTTGTGTCCGAGTTCTGCGCCGTCCCGAGGCGCCGCTCCCGGCCAGGGAACCTGCCGCCGCGACCCCGAGGCGGAGGGCGCAACCCCGGGACCAGCTAGGCGAGCGCGGCGGCGGCGGCGGCGGCGGCGGCGGCGAGGGGCCGAGCCCGAGATGCCGGAGTTCCTGGAGGACCCTTCGGTCCTGACCAAAGACAAGTTGAAGAGCGAGTTGGTCGCCAACAATGTGACGCTCCCGGCCGGCGAGCAGCGCAAGGACGTGTACGTGCAGCTCTACCTGCAGCACCTCACGGCGCGCAACCGGCCGCCGCTCGCCGCGGGCGCCAACAGCAAAGGGCCGCCCGACTTCTCCAGCGACGAGGAGCGCGAGCCCACCCCGGTGCTGGGCTCCGGGGCCTCCGCGGGTCGCGGACGCGCCTCCGTCGGCAGGGTAAGGCCGCCCCGGGGCCGGGGAGCGTTGCTCGGCGGCGGGGGTCCTCGGCGCCAGCCCCCCCGCCTTGCCGTCCTGCTGCGCGGCCCGGTGCTGCAGGCCCGGCCCGGTCGGGAGCGGCTGTAGGCGCAGCCTTGGAGCCGTTTCCTAAAGCCCCGCACACGGGCTTGGCCCCGGCACGGGAGGTGAAGTTGGAGCGTTTTTCCCGCTTTAGTACCGAAGTGGCTCGCAACCGAGTCTCAGAGCGCTCCCTGGAGGGCAGTTAGCGACATGGTCATTTCTGCCCTCCCCCCCTTTTTTAAATAAAGGCATTCCCGCCTTTTTTATATTTTTTGCATATGGAGGGCTTTTTGAACTGTTTGTTTCCTTGGTTGTCTTGCTCCTTTTGCAGTCCGCAGACCCTGTTTTTAGTGGGTTGGCTTTACTGTGAATTGAATGCTTTACGCCGCATTTGAAAAAAGATAGTTCTCGTTGACATATTGGAGAATCCTAGTTAGGAAGAGTTTTGAGTTTGTCGTTTTAAGGTTTTGCTTGAGGAAGTAAAGAATCGGAGGCCAAAAAAAAAAAAGTTTATGGAGTACTGATGTATCCGTATTACAATTTGAAGCTTGAGACCAGTGAAATTTAAGTTGGGTTCCCGCAAATGTTTACCATTTTGCTTTTTTGTTGTTCTTTGGGTACATTTTAAATGGTGGTTTGTAGGTTTATAGTTAGTTAACAGAATTCAAGTCATTAAAAATTAGCTAAGTTTTTTTTTTGTTTTGTTTGTTTGTTTGTTTTTTGGTGTAACATAAAATCTTTGAGAGACACGGTGAATGTTTTTGGTTGGAATTGTTGCTATTGTTTACTGCTATAACCGAAAACGATTGAGACTTGCTTCTCGTTTTGGCGTGGGAATTGAACCCAAAGCCGCTTCTGCGCTAAGTATGTACTTGCGCGGAGCTACACCTCAAGTCAGTTGTTTCTATGGAAGTGTTACAGTGTTTTGTTGTTTAGCGTCAATTATTTTTTTTTTCTTCTGATTGCCCGAATGAGAGTGAAAGGCACGTCACGCACGTGTGGACTTAGATGAGAAAACTTTACTCTGGCCTTTCATTTCTCTAAATGTCCTAAATCTGGCAGGTAGCACTGTCGAGTAAGCACCAGTGTCGCGCGCATGTGATCCCAGCTGTCGAGATGTAAGCGGGGGTGGGGATCAGGAGTCCACGGCCATCCTCAGCAACTTGAGCTGTTGTCTAAAACCAAGTAGATACTGTCCAGCCTGTTATTGTCTTCATTTTTATTTTTTTATGCTCATTGGTGTTTCTCTTGCCTGTATAGCTGTGTGTGGGTGCCAGATCCCCTGGAACCAGAGTTAGGAACAGTTGTGAGCGTGGGTACAGGTGCTGGAAATTCAGCCCAAGTCCCCTGGAAGAGCACCTGGCCCTCTTAACTGATAAACTGCCTCTCCAGCTCACATTTTATTGTGTTGTTGAATTATCAAAATAATAGGTTCCATCTGAACTTTTCACTTAACTGTATATCTCCCACTGGCTACCTTACCTGCCTCATTCTCCCCTCACACTAGTTCGTTTTTACTCCCTTTAACTTTGTCATACATATTGCTTTTAATGTGGATTCTGCATATGAGAGAATTTTTGTCTTTTGAAGAGAAGTTGAGATAGAATCTCTTGTAACCCTGGCTGCTCTTGAATTCATTGTAGTCAAGGATGAGGTTGTCTGGCTCATAGTGGCTAATTTCACTTAACATAATGTCAGTTTCATCCATTCCACATATGACATGATTTTTGTTATTTAACTCCTTTGTGTATATATACATTTTCTTCAGTGACTCATTTGGTGGATATCTGGATGGATTCCATGTTTTTTGTGAGCTTACAGCCACTCTAGGGGCCTAGGGAAATGATGTGTCCTTCAAGCAGGAGAGCCTGATACCGCCACCCACATAGAAAGCTGGGCATTGCAGTGGAAGATATACTAGCAGAGCTTTGTGACTCAAATCTGTAATCCAGCATTCAAGATGCTGAGATGGGATCATAAGAGTTTGAGTCAGCCTGTACTGCATGGTGGGGCTCTCTCTAAATTCTCTAAGAGAATTGCAAATTTGTTTATGTCTAAGAAAAGTTTTTGAAGCTGGGGGAGGTGGCCCATGCCTTTACAGCACTTAGGGAGGCAGAGGTAGGTGGATCTCTGCAAGTTCGAGGCAGCCTGGTCTACAAAGTGAGGTTAGGACAGCGAAGGCTACACAGAAAAACTGTCTCAAAGAAGGGAAGGGGGAGCTGGAGAGATGGTTCAGCGGTTAAGAAGTCTAGAGTTCAGTTCCCAGCAACCACATGGTGGCTCACAGCCATCTGTAATGTGATCTGATGCCCTCTTCTGGCATTCAGGTGTACATGCAGGCAGCACTGGAGAAAGAGGGAGAGAGGGAGTATTAGTTTTTGAGACAGGGTTTTCCTATAACTGCCCTGGCTGTTCTGGGACTTTTTTTTTTTTTTTTTTTTTAAGACTGGCTGGCTGGCCTTGAACTCACAGAGATCCATTTACCTCTGTATCCCAAGTACTAGGACTAAAGGCATGGGTCACCACACCCACCTTAAGTGTATCTCTCCCTTATGTGTTTTTCTCTAACTTGTTCTTTTCTAATTGTATATGTATGGATGTTTTGCTTGCATATTGTATGCCCATCATGTATGTGTGCTCTCATTCCCCAAGGGGGCCAAAAGAGGACATCAGATCTGCTGGAACTGGGGTTAAAGGTGGTTGTGAGGCCTCCTAGTGGGTGCTGGGAACCAAACCTGGGTCCTTTGGAAGAGCAGCCAGTGCCCTTAACCACTGAGACCCTTACCATCAACTCTTTAAAGGTCGTACTTAAGTTAAAAAAAAAAAAAGCCATTTCAAACGGCATGTGGTGGGATAGGTCTTATTAAATCATCTAAGTGTTTGTCCAAGTGTATTAATGCTTTTTGGTTATAAAAATTAAGTCCCAATTCATCTGGTGGGGGCAGGAGAAGCAGGAGTTCAGCGTCATCTGCTACAAAGTAGGTTGAAGCTTTCATGATTACATACACAAGACTTTACCGCAAAGCAAAGCCAGTCCTGTTCGAGCCCATGTTTGAGTTCTTAATGTGTGCCGATTTTGTTTTCGACATTGTGTTTCTAGTGTAGCCCTACCTTAGCCTTCTGAGTGCCCACAATAAAATGTGAGCCACCAGGTGTGGTCTTAACCACTACAGATTGATTCTGCACAGCTATTATTTTTTGTTATTATCATTAACTTGTGCTGTTTCCTCATCCCAGCTCAACTTGCCTTTACATAAAGATCCTCCCCTTTTTTGAGCAGCTATTATGGGCCTAGGCTGTCCCTCAGGAATAGAGGGACAGTTAGAATGCTGTGTGCGCTGTGTTGATACCCAGCACTTTGCAGGGAGGCAGAGCACCTTCTGTATCCCATGGCATGCTATCTCCAAGGTAGCTTTCTATCGCAGGGGTTCTTTCTATGTGGGTCTCATAATTATAGGTCTGTATTCTCTATCTGCAGTATTTGAACATTTTTAAATGTATAGTTTTGATGGGACTCAGTGATACCAACTACTTGAAAAAATAATATTGGTAATCAGTACATGAATAAAGTGAGTTCTGATATAGGAATCTAAATTAACACTTAAGTTCAGCAGATCTCTTGAGAAAAATATCTTGAATTTCAGAAGAAATGTGACTGTTTGTATAAAATTATTCTCAAGTTTTTTCCTGCCTTGGTCTCTTAAATGCTAGATCACTGGCATGTGCAGTTAAAAAATAAATTGTTTCATATGTATCACCATCGCAGTATTCGACCTTGGATGCATATGATTGGTATAGTTTTTTGTGGGTGGGTTCCTTATTGTTAGGCTTTTAATCAAAAGCCTTGATACCAGTATTTTTAGGTGTTAAAATAATCTAGATAGTAGACGTAAAGAGTAAACGTTTGTGGGGCTTGCTTTTCGTTAGAGTGTGCAAAGCATGCAGGCTTACTGTTAGGGATCCAGTGGAGCATAGTGACCTTCTTGAGTACCTGTCAGGAGAGATCGTTCTGTTTTGTGCTAGGGGTTGAAGCCAGAGCTCCATGCATGCTTACTCATTTGGAATACATTTACTTACACAAATTCTTGTTATTATAGCCCAGGCTGGTATTAAACTTACCACCATCTTTTCAGGCTCCTTGTGCTGGGAGTTCGGGTATGCCCCTATGCCTGGGCTGCTGATGAAACCTGTGGCTGGCTTGTTGGTTTTTCCTCTTTTGTTTTGGGTTATTTTGAGAGGGTTTCCCACAGCTCAGAGTATAATACAGGACTGTGACCTTGAACTCCTGAGCCTCAACTGCCTTCACCTTCCAAGAGCTGGCATAAGTGATGTGCCTTTGTATTCAGTAACTTAACTACTTACGGTTTCTGATTTTTCCCCCCTTCCTTTCTTTAATTTCAGGCTAATGCAGTGCAGAGTTACTCTAATAGGAGTTTTCCGTGAAAGGGTGTATATGAAAGAGTTTTATAAGTAATGTCTGAATAAATGTCACTGGAGAACACAGTGAAGATTTACTAGATCAGTCAGGGCCTCGGTTTCCTCACTTTGTAATATGGAGATATTAATGTGTCTATCTCATAGGATTTTTAGGAATCTTTGGGGGGGGCTCAAAACAGGGTTTCTCTGTGTAGCCACTGGCTACTCTGAAATTCACTTCGTAGACCAGGCTGGCTTCAAACTGGGTATTTTTATTTTTCGCGATACCTGGCTTTTCTGGAACTCTGTGTAGATAAGATTGGCTTCCAACTCAAGATATCTCCCCTGCCTGTGCTTCTGCTTCTGCTGGGTTTAAAGGTGCATGCCACCGTGCCCGACTAAATTTTTAGGGCTCTTTAATTTAGCGTAAATAATGCCCTTAAAATGCAACTGGATGCATAGAGTATGTTTGGTGGAATGTTTTATGTTAGCTGGGTGTGCTAGCTCATGCTTCTGGTCCTAGAACTTAGGAGAGTGGCTGGGAGTTGATGGGTTTTACAACATTTAATAGCTCTTGCTGGTCTTGCAGAGAACTCAGGTTTGCTTCTTGGCACTGGCATGATTGCTCATAATTTGTAACTCCTTGTTCTGGAGAATCTGATGCCCTCTTGTGCCCTCCACAGGTACTGTATGTACATAGACTACACGGTACAAGGGGGCAAAAGCACTCATTAATAATTGTTGGCTTGAAGTTTGTGTTTTTTGTTTGTTTGTTTTCATTATGATTTTTTTATTTTTCAAGACAGGGTTTCTCTGTGTAGCCTTGGCTGTCCTGACCTCAACTTTGTAGACCAGGCTGCCCTTGAACTCACCACCTGCTTCTGCCTCCCTAAATTCTGGGGTTACAGGCATGAGCCACCGTACCTGGCAGCCTATGTTATTTATTTCAATGTCTGTTTTTCTGAGGGGAGTCTGGAATCCACAGCCTGCTAGACAAGCCCTCCACTATGGAGTTATTCACAGCTTCATCATGTCTAATAAGTTTTTATAATGGCTTAAATATTTCTTACTGAATTGCACTTTCAATTATTTGACAAAACAACTTAACTTCTCTTTTAGGCTTTGTTGTTGTTGTTGTATATGTGAGTGTTCTGCCTCCTTGTATGTTTCTGTTCCACTTGCCCAGTGAGCACTGGATGCTGGGGATCAAAGAACAGCTGGTGTTCTTAACCCATTTCTCTGGCCCTTTTGGTCTTGCTTTTGGTGCTTGGAATAAAAATTGATATTTTGCCTTTCTCAAGTTTTCTTATATACTGTTTTCAGATTACACAAACTATGTATTAAAAAATGCTAGCCCAACGGGAGGTAGGGTGGGATCAGGAGGGGAGGAGGGAGGGGCTTATGGGGGGATACAAAATGAATAAAGTGTAATTAATAATAATAATTAAAAAAGAGGAAAAAATGCTAGCCCAATATGACGAAGTTTATTGGGCCAGTCCTAGAGCAATTCCAGGACTCCAAAGAATCTGTAAGGTTCATATTAAATGTGATGTTCAATGTTAATTTATTTTACTTTGCTTTCATTTGCTTTTGGACACTTGACGCTATTACTGTTTCTTTAGTTAGGCAGGGCCTTGCACATGTCATCCAGGCACCCCACCACTGAGCCTACCCTCCGCCTCCAGCAGCAGTGTCTCTAATACTTAAGTTACTATGTATTAGGCTTGCACAGTCTACCCTTGTACTTCGAAAAGCCTTCAGATACTAGTTTTTAGTTTAATCAAGTTGTTGTGGCTAGTGTAACAATAAATCACCTTGTTGATTGCATAGAGAGTGTCATGTAAATGAATACTTTTCATGTAGAGGAGTTAACTGTACTTTATTTACAGAAAGCAACAAGGAAAACTGATAAACCCAGACTAGAAGATAAGGATGATGTAGATGTGACAGAGCTCTCTAATGAGGACCTTCTGGATCAGCTTGTGAAATACGGGGTGAATCCTGGTCCCATTGTGGGTAAGTCCATCAAGTCTCAGAGATCTTTTTCAAGAAGCAAGACCCCCAGATCATTAATGGTTAGAATTGGGGTCTTCGGGGACCGTTTGTCATTATTTATAAAACCAATCAATAATACTAGTTTCCTTAACTCTAAATAAAGAAGCTAAAATGAGAGTTTCAGGAGATAATATATAAAATTACCCATTGTTGATGTTGTCCGATTCAGTGGCCATTTCCTGTTATTCGGTAAGCTGTATGTATCTTATCTGGCAGTTGAAGAAAATATAGCCAAATCATCCGAATCAGTGAGTTACAGAAAGAATAATGAGGACAAATTAACTCAGTTCCTAACAGTTCCATTTCCTAATTAGCATTAAAAGATTTTTTTAAGTCTGTCTTGATACCCTAAAGAACAAACAACAAAAGGTATGCAAGAATTAAATAAATACTGTAAATCTATCATTTGCTTTTCTAGGTAACCCTGTGTTTCTGCCAAGTTGATTATGCTTTTTTTACAGAGTGTGGGCAAGAACCTCAAGATGGGAACACTCCAAACAGAACTTTAGGGTTGTACAAAAATTTGAACACTGGATGGAGATTGGGTGGTTTTGTTAGAGCAGTAGTTGGAAACAGTGATTTTGTTTTTTGTTTGTTTGAGTCTGGGTCTCACTGTGTATAGCCTGCCTAGCTTTGCACACCCTGGAGTTAAATGTGTGCTCTTCGTAGGCTACCAATAGACATTTAATATCTTTTGTAAAGTTCTAAGAGAGACACTAAAAAACACATATTACATTATGAAAATATGCCAAATTACGATAGTGTATCAATTGTCTTAAGACTACTTTTATCATTCCTGGATGAATATTGTTTATGAAAGATAGACCAGCTCTCACTCATATCACCTCCCAGAAATTAAGGAAAGATATATACAGTAATGTAAAATAGAAAATTAAGGATATTTGAGTGTGATTTACAGAATTTGACACCTATGCTTCAGTGAGGGTTTATAGGCATGTTGATCTTAGTGTTGTGAAGTATCATTTTTGTTCAAGGTTCCATCTGTTTCTTTTAAAAGATCTTTGGGGAACCTCGGAGATGAGTCAGCATTTAAGAGGACTAGCTGCTCTTCCTGAAGACCTATTTGATTCCTAGCACACATGTGGCTAAAAACTATCTATAACAGCATACAACACCCTCTTCTGGCCTACCAGGCACATGGATCACAGACATACAAGCCAGCAAAACACCCACTCACATAAATAATAGAGTCTTTTTTTTTTTTTTTTTTTTTTTTTTTTTTTAAAGATGTGGTCTTATATTAACATTCCAGAGGAGGAGCTCTTTTGGAAAAGAGTATTATTTATTATCTTTAATCACTTACTTTAGACATGGAAAGCATGTTGCTTAAAAACTGGTTTTCTGTAGGGCCTGGAAAAGATGGTCCCAGTTTAAAGAACCTGTACTGTTCTTGCCAAGGGCCTGGGTTTTGTTCCCAGAACTTACATAGGGTGCCTCACGATGGCTTGTAGCTCCAGCTGCAGGGGACCCAGCGCTTGTGGTCTCTAGGCACCCACATTCATTCATGTATACACACACATCACACACATATACATGACATCTATGTATTTTAATCTTTTAAAATACAGTTTCATGTCAATACTAATGGAACTTTTGCCTTCATATAGGAACAACCAGGAAGCTGTATGAGAAAAAGCTGTTGAAACTGAGGGAACAGGGAACAGAATCAAGATCTTCTACTCCTCTCCCAACAGTTTCTTCTTCAGAAAATACAAGACAGAATGGAAGTAACGACTCTGACAGATACAGTGACAATGACGAAGGTAAAATTTAAAGCAATATTGATAAGATATGAAATATAATATTCTGTATAAATAGTCACTTCACTTCTGCTTCAAATGAAATTTTTGTAAAGACAAAGTTCTCCTTTTCTTTCCTTATTATCAACACCTACAGAAGGAATCATTCATTTGATATTTTCTGATTCATTTTTTTATTTAAAGATCAGTGTAAATACATGCTGCTTTGTTTTTTTTTAAAGATTCAATATAAGTGATAGGCTGAGTCTTTTATGTGTTAATTTGTTCAGTGTTATGTCTTTTTGGACCTTATTATATGTTTATTCTTTATAATTAATATATACTGTTAACATTTAAATATGACATACTTTCTCTTCTCTATTGATAGGCAGATGAATTGTTTAAAAGATTTGGCTTACATAATTTGATTTCATGGCAGTTTTGACCACGATTTTAAGTATTTTTGAGACTAGAACAGGAAGGATATTCCTTTTTAAAATTTTAGAGTAAATGCAAAATTTGATCCTTAAAAAGTTTTAGCTCATAATTTGCTAATTTTATAAGTATTTAACTTGGTACCTTATACCAGATTGGTTGCTGAGAGTGTGAAGTATAGGGTCCTTTTCATCAACAGCACTATATTAGCAAGGAGGCAAAGAATAAGACCAGCACAAACCAGTCATGCTTAAACTTCCTGCCTCTTTTGCCTCTACAGGAAAGAAGAAAGAACACAAGAAAGTGAAGTCCACTAGGGATTTTGTTCCTTTTTCTGAACTTGCATCTACTCCCTCTGGTGGATTTTTTCAGGGTATTTCTTTTCCTGAAATCTCCACCCGTCCTCCTTTGGGCAGGACTGAAGCGCAGGCAGCTAAGAAAGTGCATGCTTCTAAGGGAGCCCCACCTAGGGAGCCTCTTACTGACACAGCCTTGCCTGGGAAGGGACAGGGGCAGAAGTTAGCCCCTGGACGGAATTTATGCATTCCTCCCGAGTCTAGCTATGATAGATGTGTAGAGAAAAGTTCTTCGCCATCTTCTCAGCATGAACTCACTGCCAGGTTGGCCTCTGCTGCAGCTTCTCCTTCACTGATAAGAGAAACCACCACTACTTACTGTAAAGACACAGTAGAAAATATTTACCGTGGCAGGAGAAGTAGAACTCAGCCATCGTGTACTGAGGGGCCAGATGTCTCAGATCAGTCAGTTCTCTCTAGTGAAAGAGAAGTACTGCAAGAGTCAGAGAGATCACAAGTCATTTCTCCACCACTCGCTCAGGCCATCAGAGATTATGTCAATTCTCTGTTAGTCCAAGGTGGAGTTGGCAGTTTGCCTGGGACTTCTAAATCTTTGCCCACACTGGATATAGAAAACATATGTAAGAGACTCAGCCAGTCAGACCATCAAGAATTTGAATCCCTGTCCCCTTCCCGGAAAGTTCATAGACTCAGTAAGAAGCCAGTAAAGGAAGGGGATTCAGGCTCATGTACGGCATTTCAGAGTATACCTGGATCCGAACATATGTCTTCTTTTGGCAAAAGCGTTGTCTCTCATTGTCTTACTACTTTAGGAATAGAAGTGCCTAAGCAACCACAACATGATCAAATAGATGCCTCCGAACCATCTTTCCCTCTCCATGAATCTATTTTAAAAGTAATCGAAGAGGAGTGGCAGCAAATTGATAGGCAGCTGCCTCCACTGGCGTGCAAATATCCAGTTTCTTCCAGCGAGGCAACACAGATATTATCCGTTCCAAAAGTAGATGAGGAAATCCTGGAATTGATTCCTGGAGCCACCCCACAAGCAGCCATTCGGGCATCCTCCACTGAGTCTTGTGATAAACATTTGGACTTAGCTCTCTGTAGATCTTATGAGGCTGCAGCATCAGCATTGCAGATTGCAGCCCACATGGCCTTCGTAGCTAAGTCTCTGCAAGCCAACATAAGTCAGGCCGCACAGATTATTAATTCAGATCCTAGTCATGCACACCAAGCACTTGAGATTCTGAACAGAACCTATGATGCGGCTTCGTATCTCTGTGATGCTGCATTTGATGAAGCAAGGATGTCTGCCCGTACCATGGGGTCTTCTACTATGGGTCGGCGCTGTCTGTGGCTGAAGGACTGTAAGATTAACGCAGCTTCTAAGACTAAACTGACTGCTGCCCCATTTAAAGGTGGAACATTGTTTGGAGGGGAAGTACCCCAAGTTATTAAAAAACGTAGAAGTAAATAGCAATAATATTAAGAACAAAGATAGAACCTTATCTTTGATTTGGAGAATTTATAAACCTTTCTAGGAATTTTAGCAACTTTTATGCCAGGATTTTCTTTTGAGTTCTTGCTAGTTCCCTAATAGAGCTAATTTCAAGGTGATAAGCTTCTACTCACCAAATTACAGTATAATTGCACCTATAGAAGCCCAGTACAGTTTAAGTTTCATAGATCACACTCATAAGTTTACAGTGTCCTGTTTTATATAACACTTTTACAACTCTTAACATATAAAAAGAATTCCAGCAACTAAAATAGCAGTAGAACCTCACTTTAGTAGTGCCATTCACATATTTCTTACCCTAGGTCAGAGGCACTAGAAACACTGAATTTTTAGTGTTTCTAAAAGGAATTTATTTTGGAAAGTCTAGTATATAAGGATGCCAAGTCTCCCAGCAATGAAATAGGCACACCGCCATTGGGATTTCCATCTGTTCAGCTTTATTCAGCTACTTATTTTCATTGACATAAGTCTCTTTTACCAAGAGGCCTTTTGTTGTTCACTCATTGCAAGAAATCTACAGGTGACCTTTTTGTAGCTTAATTTTTTTGTCACTCTTGGCTAAGTATCTACACAGTCTTAAAACTTTGTCCACATTCTTATTTATGACTTTTGTCTGCAACAAACTTCATAGATTATTGTAACTCTTGAAATGCCGGTACACACACTTTCTGATTCACAGATGTGTGTACAAGAACCAGAGGGAAAGGGGCTGCCTCAGTGGTAAGAAGTAAGTTTAATAAAAGAATTTAAGTCCAGAGATACTTTGTAAGCAAATTATAACATATAATACAACATGTATATACATATATACACACATATGTATATATGGACTTTTTTAGTAAAAAAAAAAAAAAAAGCAATGTACAGTTAATTGTACATTCTGATAGGGATGGTGGCCTGCAATTCCTGGGTCATACCACTGGATGGAACACATTTGAGGAACAAAGCTATGTGTGGAGATGTTCTGATACAGTCCATTCAACATGACTATTTTGTTAGATGAATAGGACATTAGAAGTATAGGGCTTTTTACCTTTTACATGTATTTAAAGGTGTGTTGTGCATCCTATGTGGTTAAGTCTCAAATCCAAATGCTAAAAGCAAACTTGAATTATTTTCTAAAAGCCTTAACTTTTATTATACCCCAGTGTCTGTGAAGCAATGTATGACCCTGTTTTTATTTGTATGGTTGTAAGGTAAGGTAGCTTGATTGTAGAGACATTATGGTAATAGTCTTAAACATAACCAAATACAGTCCCTTGAGTGTACGTGTCTACCACTATCATGTTTTTAGACTGCACAGTTCATCGCTGCAGCTTTGTTGTCTTCTAAAATGTACATGTATACATGTACCTGTTAAGTGCTCTGTGATTTCTTTAAAGCAATGTATTTCTGTAGAATGCTTCTACAAATTCAATAAAGTTGTTAAATTTGAACAGTTTTGTGTGGTCTCCAGAAACATGTTTTATGTGTGCTTTATTCTTGGAGTTATCAACAAGTTGAATATTTGTGGGTGAATGTGCCTTTTCCATTTCATCATTGAAACAGTCTAGTAATATGACTTGAAAATATTCTAGTTGTTATATGTCCTTTTCACTATTTGAGGACCATTTATTTAATTGGCCGTTAAAAATCTCAATTTGAACAAGGACTTAATTTGTAATAACATAGGCTATTTGTCTAAACAGTTTCTGCTTTATTAATAGTTTTTTTTTCTTTGCTCAGTCCTGTCTAAAGTTTCCTAGATTCTGAATTAAAAGAGAAAAAAAGATAGATTTTTATAATGCCAAGGAGTATTGATCTAATGACAGTATTGGGGATAGAGCTGGTTGCTTGGTTGTAATTGACCTGTTTGAACTACTTTGGTTAAAATTCTCTAGCATGGGGGGGGGCCAGGTATATTTGGACTATTAGGTTAGACTGGAAGGTCAGCAAGGCACAGAGCTATCTTGAGCAGTTTAAAAAGCATGGCAACATTAAATTTGTATTAAATTAAGCTTTAAGAATTGATTCTATTGTTTTTTTAGTAAGAAAGCAAATTTTTGGAACAGTTTTAACATTAAGAGACCTCATTATGTTACATTAACATCATTGGCGGTTAACATTCATTACTACATGATAGGAGCCACACAAAAACTTACCCCTTCCACGTGCAAAATTCTAATGTAATAGCTCACCTTTGCTCTCAGTAACATACCACATTTGTGTTGGTTTTTAGTGAAAAGCTCCAGAGGAACAGTTTGAATCCTCTTTTATTTTTAAGGTTATTCTAGGGGTGGGAAAAATAGAAAGAAAAAAAAGCAGGAGAAAATAATCAGATTAAACTGTGGGAAGGGATGAAAATGGACTGAGATTATAAAAGTGGAGGTCTGGGTTCTGTTTTCTGTAAAAGAGGGTTTGTTTAAGATAAATTTTGCCAAACAGTTTTGCTCTGTTGAGGTGAAGATAATCTGTGTACTAATGTGCCCAAAACCAGGGTTCCAAAGTAATATTGGTACAACATAACAAATAATGGTTTCTTCGATGTTGTTTCTAGACTCTAAAGTAGAGCTCAAGCTTGAGAAGAGAGAGCCACTAAAAGGCAGAGCAAAGACTCCAGTAACACTCAAGCAAAGAAGAATTGAGCACAATCAGGTACTTTTAGTTTTATGATCACCGTATACATGTGTGAGTCATCTGACCAGTACTCATTGTCTTGCATTTTTTGACCTTTGGTAAAGAGTTGGCACATACAGTCCAGCTCGCTCACTCACTCCATAAACTTAGTTTAATTGTTAAATGGTTTGGATGATACATACTTTGTGAGATCTGTCATTAAAATAGCCTGTGCTGTGTATCAAACCGTGCTAAGCAGTCTAGTGTTGGTCATGCTGCCTATTTTTAATTTTGGTGCAGCAGTTTTGAACCTGGGATCTCAAGTGTGCTAGGCCAGTGTATAATGGGACTCTTTGGACTACCACCAGGTGGAATAATGACGGAGACATCTGTTTGTTATGTAGCTCAGGCCTTAGGGTAAGCTAGTTCCATTTAGCTTGTGTAACTTAACTAGTTTATTCAAATCTACATTTGCCACATGGCCCGTTACCTCTCACTCAGTCCTGGTACGTCCTCCAGTGTCTGGCTGTTGAATCTCTTGCCTCTTAATTCTGTCTCTGGTTGGAAGTCCTGCCTTTCCTTTCCTACGTAGCTATAGGCTCTCACCTCATCATTAAACCAATTGGAAGGTGAGGGAGGCGTATGTTTATAAAATGCTAAGGCTGGTGATGCTTCATAAAAATAACAAGACCAGCAAAGGCCTGTACTCAACTCTCTGCTGGTACAGAAATGCGCATTTGAATAATAATACAGAGACAGCCTTCACACAAAGAACCCCAACACCAGCTTTCTACCAACATACACTCCATTGTGAGAGAGTTGCTTTAGAAGATTAAAAAAAAAACTTGATTCAGCTTCTTTGAAAATCAGGAAAATACTTTTATATTTGTCTTTGTGTCTAGCTTTCTGAATTTGAATTTACTTTTCTTTTTCATTTGTAGCTTTTTCTTTCACTTTGAAGCTAATATGTTACATTATTTAAGATGAAAACTTTGCTTTTTTTGTTGGGGCATGGGAAGTACAAGATAGTTTCCAAAAGGAAAATGGGGAGAAAATAAGCATAAAGTATTAACAAATAGATTACAGAGGAAAATTACTGGCTCTAATTTGGGCTTGATAACCAAGATTCTTTTCCTCATCTATTCTTTAGCTAGAAAATGTGTTACTTTGTTACTAATCTATCTTTTCCATGTTCAGTGCCTCTGATTTCTGTGGTGATTTTGAAACAGTATTTCACAATGAAGCCCTTGGCTGTCCTAGACCTTGCTTTGTAGACCAGGCTGGCCTTTAATTTGTAAAACGTGAGCTTCCTAAGAGATGGGATTAGAGATGTACACTACCAGGCCGTGATTCCTTTCTTTTGTGTGGTTGGAATGGAGAGGAATGTGCATGTACTGCTCCCAGCCCTTTTGCCTGTTTCTCTCAGATGCTGGGGTTATAGGACTGTACCACCATTCCTGGGCAGAAACTGTTGGAATCTGAATTAGTCTACACTAATTCCACTAAAGCTGCTTTTTCCATTTTGTGACCATAATTAATCATGACAATATTTCCTACATTCTGGAGGTGGTAGGTTGTTTCAAATGTTTCATTTGTTTCTTTATATCCTATATAATCTAGTTTACAGGGGATTGATTGTGTGTGACAGTGAAGTAGGCTTTTTTTTTTTTGTCACAATAAAATGTTTGATGTCAGTGCTAGAGTAGCATTGTTGACAGTATAGTTGAACTGTGGCTACTTTATGTATTATACAGTAGTTGGGGACTACCGTATGGGACAGCATAGACCTAAAGGATTGGTCTGAATTTAGATTCAGCTTCTTTGACAAGAATACTTCATGATGTTATAGCTTTCCTATTGATCATTTCAGGAAACTCTTAAGTTTTCTTTAAAAAGAAATATTAAAATTAGTTAACAATAGCTCAGATGTTGAAAGGTGATAGAAATTCTTGAGTCCTGAGTGCTGGGATTAAAAGTGTGTACCACCACTACTCAATTTATGCTATAATTTGTATACTCATGATCAATTGTAATACAGTCATTCCCCCATCCTACCCAAAGCCTGCAGCACCCCATACAATCACTTTACTACTGGCCCCCATTCCCGAACAAATAGGAGGGGTCTAGAGTCTCATTACCTTGTCTCTCTTCTTTCCTCTGTCTTTAAGGCTGTTAAATGCAGGTCAGTGTATTTTTCTCATTTGTGTCACTAGGTTATAAAGTAAAAGAGTGTGCTCAAGATCCTTGCTTTTTCTAAGCAGTAGTTTAATGTACCGCTGGAGTTCTATGGACAGGATTGATTCACTGCCCCCAAGTTTTACTTTATCTTTTCTTTTTGGAAGTACTTGTTTATATTTGCTTCTTTCCTCCTTTACATGAGGCATCCCTTCCTTTCTGTCCTAGAGTTCACTCCCAAATCAAAATGTTTTGCTTGCCCCCATTCCTTATGCAGCTACATCAAGCATATTGAGATTTGTGGATTTGCTATAATTTATTCAGGTGCTGTCCTTTTGATGAATGTGTAAGTTGTTTTCACTTATGAACTGTTTTTGCAAAAAACAAGCAGCCTTTTATAGGTAGTATTTTGTCTTTGTCAGTTTGCTGATGACAAAGTGAAAGTGCTTTATGATTATTTTAATAGTTCGTTACCAAATGTTTTTGCATCACAGCAACACTGACAGAGTTCTGTTCTCTACTGGAGTAATACAAGTTAGTGTGACTATCTGTTGATCATGCTTTACCTAAGTGTGGACAGTTAATGCTCTAGAGTAATAGCTTTTTACTCTAATTTGGTGTTTATATATTCATTTCCCTTCCTCTCCCTCCCTCCCTCTGTCGCCTTCTGTCCTGAGAACCAAATCCAGGAACTCTTACACGCCAGGTACCTACTTTGAGAAAGAGTCTTATGTAACCTAGGCTAGCCTCAGGCTCCTCATCTTACTTCCTCAGCATCCTGTGGTTTACATGTGTGTGCCACCATGCCAGACTTGTTTATGTCTTACTGTAAAGTAGTTTTGTGCAGGGTTTTTTTTGTTTTGTTTTTGTTCAGAGCTTAGATTTTTTTTTTAGAAGGAATTAGTAGCCTTTGATAGCCGACTTATTCCTCATGAAGCGACTTTGTCAATTCAAAGCATAAAGCACTCACATTATATATATGCTTTATATATATGCTAGTGTGCTAGTCCTCTGTGTAATTGTTTGGATCATCTTCTAAATTCTGCCATGGAATGGTAACTATTTTTATTCATATTCTCAAAGTCAGTTGCTGTGAGTGGTGATATGTGCTTACAGCTGTAGCACTACTACAGGCACAGGAGGATGGTGAGCTGGAGGCTGAGGCTGTGTCCTCTGTTGACATTCTCGGGAATTTGACTGTTGATAGGATTTTATTCTGTTCATATATTGAATGGCTTATTTATATAATGTGTCTTTGACGTTAATTTTACGTTCAGCAGAGATTTCCTAACTAATATCAGGATAAGGAACCCTGAGATTCAGATTCGGAGTCAAAAAAATCTTACGATGCTGGTGCTGAGAAGTGGCTTGGTGCTTGAGAGCTATTGCAAGGACTTAGGCTGGGTGCTCAGACCCCCATCATGGCTCACAGCTGCTTGCAACTCCTGCCCCGGGGACCAACACTCTCTTATAGCCCCTGATACATGTTTCTCTAAAAATAAACTTGCCGGGCAGTGGTATCACACACCTTTAATCCCAGCACTTGGGAGACAGAGGCAGGCCAGTCTCTGAGTTCAAGGATAGTCTGGTCTATAGAGCAAGTTCCAGGACAGCCAAGATTGCAGAGATAAACCCTTTCTCAATAAAAACAAAACAGTCAAAATAA